CAAACACATCTAACATCTAAGGAAAGAAGAGCTTAGATAGGAACCAGATAAAATAATTTTTTTATCAACATTAATAAATTATGCTAATTTTCATCTTTGTAAGCGCATAAGACGTTGCAAATTATTTCTGTGACAGTCTTTTTGAAGTGTAAGACTCCATTTTATCCCATACATAATCAAATATTAGGGGGGATGATACAATGAAACATCCCCCCTTGTCAAATATTGGGGGATATATCCCCTCCATCCCCCCCTCCCCGGATCTACGCCTATGTTCCTAACATATTATACACTCATTCACTCACATAGTGTATTAGATATTATTTGTAACAGTCGATAGAGAGCAAATAGTAAACAAAAATTTATAAATTCAGCAAATAAGAAATATTGATCTTGCCATAATTATTGTCCATAATGTCAATCATTTTTAATTCAAACATGACTTGTTTTGGTGGATGACCTAATGAAGTCCACACCACCACGCCCACCTCCGCCGGACCATGGTTGGTGTAAATAAGTGGTAAACAATCGAGCACTCCTTTCTCCCACTGCTGGATCCCCGCTAAACTCATGCGTGCACTCCCTTTCCCCCCCTCTTTTTCTCTCTTTATTAACTTAAATTTTTTTTGCCTTTCTCTTTCTCTCTCGGCTAGACTGAGGGGTGGGGGGGCACAGGCACTCATGGGGCCTCCCCCCCCCCCGCTGGTTCCGCACCTGATCGGTTGAGGTATAATGAATAAAGTTACAAATGAAGACCCATAAATGTTACTAAAATTATTTGATATTAGGCTCCATTAATTCTAATGTAACTTGTCTTAGAACACTCTCTAATCATATTACTTATAATAACACATCATAGACTGCAATCACTCATGTAAAGAAAATTCAGTTTAGGTGAAATGATATAATGAAGACCAATCAATATCACTGAAGTTATTACCATCGATATCAAGTCACTCAAATTCCAACTTGACTCCTCTCTTAAAGCACTCTCTAATTATATAATTCACAATAACACTTGATAAACTGCAATTATTCATGTCAAGTATGTTCAGATTAGGTGTAATGAACAAAGATACAAATGAAGACGCATCAATGTTACTCAGATTATTACCACCAATGTTAAGCTTCTTTAATTCCAACTTGATTCCTCTCCTAAAACAATCTCTAATCATATCATTTATAACAACACCTGATAGACTACAGTTATTCATGTCAAGTTTATTCAGTTTAGACGCAATAAATAAGGTTGAAAATGAAGAACCACTTATGTCACAAAGATCATTACCTCTGATATAAAGACATAATTCCTACTTGACTCCTCTCTTAAAGCACTCTCTAATTATATCATTCACAATCATTCACATTAACACTTGATAGACTGCAATTACTCATGTAATGTCTATTCAGTTTAGGTGAAACAAACAAAGATTCAAATGAAGACCCACCAACATCACTATAGATTATTACCAGTGACAATAAGAAACGCTTATTCCAACTTGACTACTCTGCTAAAACACTCTAATCATATCTTTCATAATTACACATGGTAGATTACAGATATTCATGACAAATTTACTAAGTTTAGATGTAATGGATAAGGGTGCAAATGAAGACCCATCAATGATGATCAATCACTAATTCCAACTTGACTCCTCTACCAAAACACTCCCCAATCATATTCATAATAACGCCTGATAAACTGCAATTATTCATGCCAAGTCCACTTAGTATAGATGTAATGAATAACGATGCAAATAAAGACCCATCAATGTTACTGAGATTATTATCACTGACATAATGCTCCACTAATTTCCAACTTGAATCCTCTGCTAGAACACTCTCTAATCATATCGTTCATAACAACGCTTGATAAATTGCAATTATCCATGCCAAGTTTACTCAGTTTAGACGTAATGAATAAAGATGAAAATGAAGACCAATCAATGTTATTGAGATTATTAGCAATGATACCTAGCTCCACTAATTCCAACTTGACTCCTCTACTAGAACACTCTCTAATCATATTGTTTATAATAACACCTGATAAACTGCAATTATTCATGCCAAGTATATTCAGTTTAGACGTAATGAATAAAGACGCAAATGAAGACCCATCAATGTTACTGAGATTATTATCACTGACATAAAGCTCCACTAATTCCAACTTGACTCCTCTGCTAGAACACTCTCTAATCATATCGTTCATAACCACACATGATAGATTACAGTTATACATGAACAGTTTACTCAGTTTAGACGTAATGAATAAGGATGCAAATGAAGCCCCATCAATGT